CTATTGTTTTATATCATAATTAGATTGAATAGAATTTTAGAGACACAACTCATTTGAAAAGGGAACTTTCAAAACTATTGATATAATGAACATATTCTTAAATGATAATTATAAAGTTATTAGTTTGTCAAAAGCTAGCACATTTACTTAGTATCAAACCTGTTGCAACAAATGAAGATTATAAAGTTATTTATGAGGAAAACCATTGGTCTAATATAAGTTGATTAATAAGATTGATTTCTAATGAATAAAGATTAAGTTTATTGAAAATCATATATCAGTATGGGTAATATTTTATGATTAATAAATTAATTGAAAATAATAGAAAATGAATAAAAATATAGGGATAGCGAATGATGTTTACAAGTAATAGTTACAAAAATGCAATGAAACTGTATAGAATGAAATTGAAGTATTATTTTTGATTAATTAATTTATTAGTCCTCATTCAATAAAATCGACACTTATTTAAATTAACTTTTTAATAATACTTCTGATTCATTCAATCTTCATTATGAAAGGATAAGTTAAAGACAAAGTGCATTACCGATTCTTAATATATCTGAAAATACATTTAATAATCTAAACTTTGCAAATTAATTATGTTAAGACATTTCATCATTGATAAAACCTAACATTAACAAGTAAATAAAATTGAATGACAAATCATTAAATGAAGATAAAAAGTAAAAACATTAAGATGAGCATGTTCAATTAAATCAATAAGTACAATCAATCATTAATCAATCAGATGTGAAAAAATTCACTTATCAAATAATAACAGATTATTCAATTTCACAATCTAATTGGTGTTGTGCAATAGCTATTAATAAAGATTGTTCAATATTATTGATTGCATGTAATTCACAAATTAAAGTATTTGAATTCCATTAAGGAATAACCAAATAAACTTAAATCTTAAGTTAACATAAGGATCGTGTATTTACTCTAAACTTCATGTAGAAATCAAATTAATTTATATCTGGGAGCGAAGATCATTCTATCATTATATGGTAATATAATTCAGTTAATTAATGGATTTCCTAATAGATATTATATGGACATATTAGCTATATCTGGTGTTTAATATTAAATAATAATGAAGATTTAATTGTATCAGGAAGTTCAGATAAAAGTATTAGATTTTGGATAAAAAAGAATGAATGGATGTGTTAGTAAACTATTACAGATCATTCTAATTGTGTATGTGGATTAAGTTTAAATTAATAATAAAATAGAATTATCTCTTGTGGTTTTGATAAATAGATATTAATAATGGAAGAATAAGGATAAAATAAATAATGGATTGTAATATAAAAGATTACAGTTGAATAGTATGGATATCGAGTATGCTTTATTGATAATAATATGTTCATATTCTCATAATATGGGAAAGAATAGATATCTATTTTTGAGATGAATAGCATCAATTAATAATTTGAATAAACCAGAGATATTAATGTAAAATGTGGATTATACGATTATTGTTTATTTGCTTAATAATATATAAATTTAAAATGTATCCTTATGAGTAAGAATGGCCAATATGTCAATTTAATAAGAAAACAATAAAATGGGCAGTTTGTAACTGAATAATCTATTCATTTTGATACAAATTATATATACGGAAGAATGAGTGATGATGGACAGTATTTAGTCACTTGGGATGATAAATCTGAGTAAATATAAATCAGAAGATATAAAGAATAATGAACATTATTAATATCAATAATATTATAATTTACAACTATTTTATTCAATTTCTGTTTAAATTAGTATATCTCAAAATATGATAATTTAATTAATTTCTGATTTTTCAATAATGATTTTAAATAAATTTGCTTAGTGATTGGAAAAGTAATTTTTTAATTTTTGTTTTATGGATAACTTTTATAAGCTAATATAAAGTGAATATCAACAATCAAAAAGGTAATATTTTAAGGAAATATTCATTTAATTTACAAGAACGCATGGAAAATAGTGAATTTTCATACAATATCTTGATAATAGCATTATCGCTGTACATGATTAGAGCTTGGTGAATCTTTAAAAATAATTTCTCTTGACTAAAATTATTCAAAAATAAATGAAAAACATGCAATTTGTGTCAAATCATTATTTAAATTCATAAATGAGAAAAGATTTAAATGCTATTTCCTCCAAAACGTAAATGATAAATCAAAAATCTTTGATTGTTGAGAAACTTTCATTTCGCATAAAGATTTATAATCTTGAGATTCAATTAAAAAGAATGTAGTGGTGACCAAAATTTACAATCTAATTCAAACTCCACTATACTAACTCTTAAAATTGAATGAGCAGTATCAATTTTAATCCTAGTTGAAATTTAAATGGCACTACAACATAATTTTCTAGATAGATTGATAGAAAACAATATAATGAAAAATATTGTGGTGTATCATTAAGCTATTCAAACCTAAAATTATTTTTGAGGTTAACGATGGATGCCATAATTCTACGATAAACAGTTAATTCATATAAATAATTTTTATTTGGCTTAAGAAATTATGAATGAATTAAAATTAAAACAATAAAATCTAATTAGTGCTGCTATCTATTTGATAAAATA